CTTTTCACTGGTAGAAGAACCTTCTACGGAACTGAGAGAAATTGATCGTTACCCGCGAGCCTCACTCACCAACACATCACATGAGACTTCCTTCAATCCTTTACCTTACTTTACTTTACCAACATTTACTCTCACTTCCCCAGAAGAAACAGTGCAAAGCTCATCGGCTACGGTGGCAAATGATTCGTCTCCTTAACGAGGGCCTGCTCAGGCCTTTTCGGTTTCTGGGCGTTCCATTCATGTTTGCACCCTGTTCACCTGTGGTTTTTTGTCCTTCCTCATTCTTAGACCATTAATTACCGATTCAATTGTAATGCATGCAAAAATGCCCCATAAAGACATTCCTGGCCAGCCATGAGTTCCTACTTCAAAAAGTTACAAGGCAATTCTTATTGAAACGATTTTGTTTGGTGATTCTCTGTCACTTGGGCCCGTTTGAAGCTATGAAGCGCCAGAAAAAGTCGCCCTTCTCTCTTAAGCTAGCTTCGAGGGTACATTCCTATTCGAAAGGGATGAAGGGCGTGTCAGGCGAGATAGGTTTAACGCCTCGTTAACCCGTTTTCGATCAGTTGTAAAATCAACAGGCGACAAGGCTGTATCATACCGTTCATCAACCATTGTCGCTTACCCATTTCAACAAGACAAGTTCGCCGCCGCGACAAACCCATCCCGCCTGACACGCCCCTTCATCCGGAGCGAACAACGCTGTATAATGTTGTAGCTACCGTGAAGTAATATAAAAAAATGCAAAAAGTCCTTATTGCTGAAAGAAAGGTCATCATCAGATGGTCTGCATGCCATTTTGAAACTAGGAACAACGCCCTAACAAGGGAGGTCTTTCAGGTCATGGCGCGCTTTTTGGAAATGGTTTGTTGCTTGTTGTAGGGGTCCATACAAGGATCACAAAAATGGGTTTCATTTTTGCTATGCGTTTCTGGGTAGGTCAAAAACTGAGTGAAAAGAATTTGACAAGAATGGGCGGTTTTAACAACCTTAATGGGCTCCGTTCTGCTTGTAACTTCGAGCATGCATAGTTTATGAGGTGGTCACTAATTAGGCCTCAAAATAGATTCGATTAAAGTCAAAATGTAAGTCTTAGGGTGTTCGGAAAGGTCTCAGCGTTTTGATTGTTTCACTTTAAACGATCATAATTTTCTTAACACTCATCGTA